CCCCTCCCCCGTCTGCGCTGCATGCACTCTGTTCAAATATTAGGTCTGAAATGGCTGGCACACGGGAAAAGCTGATCTGTGTCATTAGTTTCTCCGAGCGGGATAGCTCTGAACAGCCTTGCTCCCTGTTTGTACTATTTGAACTTTGTAGATCTCTGTTCTCCCAAGCAGAATACCCAGACCGGATCCATTCTTGACCAGTGACCAGCTCGAATCTGGCCTTTTGTATGTGAGACGATCACGGTTTCTTTTGTTTATCACGCCACATGCAAATCAGAGCAAGAGCTCTTTTTCAAAAGAGCAAGAAATCTAAACAAGACACATGTGTGAGATGAAAGTTGTCAATTGAATTTTCTCCCCCTTAAGGAAAAAGAAAACAATCTACTAAGTCTCCCTGAGTCCACTGGTTTGGATTTTTGACATGGTTTACAAAAAGGGGAAAGAGCACGGTTGCAATTTTCCCTCTTATGACTGAAATCATCTTAAGATTGTAAATGTGTATATGTCAGTGAAAACATGGAGTCTTGGAAAATGTGTAATTTTCGTCCCCCTAAATTTGAGTCAGTTTTAGACTCAAAAACATTTGAGCAAATGTCAAAGTTAACTTTTAAATATTGCGGAACTGTTTCAGAATCGCAATTTTATCTAAGATTAAATCAGACTTTTTGTCTGAGTGGTAATTATATATTTATTATTTAGGAAAACTGAAAGAAGCACAGAATTGTTTTTGACAGATGCCTCTCATTTCCAGTTGTCATTTCTCTTCCAACTTGAACCTTTTAAATGTGTTTTGGAGTTCCCTCTTGGATTAGCTTATTTTTTAGATCGCCTGCAATTCATTTGCAAATTTTGATAAAACACATTTTAGAAAAAAGAACCATTCTCAGTTATGGGGTTTTTTGTTGTTGTTTTGTTTCCTTTTAAATGTATATATTTTGACTAATGTTTGTGAATGAAGTTGGCTAACATGTATTTAGTTTCATTTTTGGCTTTATGTAATATAAAGTTTTAAAAAGTTTAAATATTGGTTTTAACCTTTATGTGTAAATGGTTTTCTTGTGTGATCTTCTAATTTAATATTAGATGCGTCTAAGCTATATCTGTAAATTAGAATCCAACTATCACTCTGTTCATTTTTTTGAACAAAGAGTTTAAATAAAGCCTGAACCAGGGAAAAGAGAAAATCCTCTATTTCTTGTTGAGTTCCTAACAAGATTTTTATCTGAATTGCCCTTACGTGCCTGGTCCAGGTGAAGTGTAAGGTATCCTCCAAAGGCATCCTTTGTTTCACTTTTGAATAGATTTACTAGGAAATCTAAATCAAGCCATTGTTATTCAGAGCCAAAAACCTGATTTATCACATTTTTAATCGTGAATAGGAAAGTAGATAAAAAAAACCCAAGTAGTTGCATTATCTTTAAAAAAAAATAAAATAAAAGGCATTCATGAACCAGTAGAACAGAGCTCATTGAAAACCTCCAGAGTGTTCAAAGCATTTCACCAGTTTCCAGTAACATTTTAAGAGGGGGAAAGTTGCCTGACCACTTTATCTTGTTAGTAGAATAGCCCCCACCACTTAAATCAGTGTAATTTGTTCACATATCTTTGGGGTACTCCTTATTTACACCTTGAGATTTTATTTGGAAGGGTAATGGCCAACAGAAATGTACAACTTTTGGCCTTTTTAGGGCTTCATTCTGTAATGCTAACAGCACTAAAATAGAAGTGCAGTATAATCAATTCTAATGGGAAGGGTTGAATTCCCAGGGCTAGGCAAGTCTCCACTGGAGAAAAGTTTCAGATTCATAAAGTATTTTAGTTTTAGAAAAGAAATGACAGGGTATCAAGGAGACTATCAGAAAAAAATATATATTAACTGCAAAGGCAAAACCCGCCCTCACCAAGAAGCGAATTCTCAAGATACCGTGTACAAGTCCTAAACTATTTTCTCCTTTGACATAGGCCATCCCTGAAGCTGCACGTCTTTATAAGCAATCCAAAGTCTTTAGAGTCATTGTTTTCTCCCAACGGAATAATATTTTAAAAACCATGAAAAGTTTGGGAAATGTGAGAAATAGGCTCTGCTGGTTTGACCCTGATTCACTAATTAAAACGATCCCTCTCCTGTTACTGCCCGAGCTCTTTGCAATATTATAAGTTAATTCATATGGTTCTGAGCGATTATGCAAAACTAATTTGGACTGTCCAGGGGTAATTATCCCTGACACGGTTAATTAAATCCTTTCAAAGCTTCGTCTTTCCCTTTTGTAGCAGCCCATCACTTCTCAACACGGAACTTCCTGCGGCTCGCTGGAAATCACCCCAGCCCTAAATCTTAGTTACCTCCCTGAGCCTTCCAGCTCGGCCCCACCGGCCCGAGGATTCCCCGCCCCCTCCCGCCCCCTCCCTTTTTCCCAAAGATCAGCGTTTTCTGGGAGAAACGCTCCCGAGTGTCGATGAATGGGAAGAGGACTAGGAAGACGGATAAGGGGAGAGGGGAGGAGGCCAGGGGTGAGCACCAGGGTCACATCGCCAACAGATTGTGCGGCTGTTTTAGCATCTCGAGAGGCCCCCCAAGATGCGTGTATCACACGCTGGCT